GGGGAGAGATGAACTCTGCAGAGACACAGGCCAAGTCATCCCTCCTCCTCCCCCCCGCCCCACCCCCCGGGGCTGGAAGCAGCTTCCATCCCTTCCCTCCTGCACAGTGCCGAAAGGCTGCTGCTGGCCACATTCTGGTGTGAACCCTGGCAGAAATCGGGAGGGCGGGAGGGAATGTGACCCTGAATTGTCCCCCCGCCCACGTTTATTTGGGAAGATATGGCACCAGGTGCCAGGAGAGATGGGTCCATCCCAGGTATCCAGCCAGGCATGGAGGGCGGAGAGCACTGGGCAGGGAGGATCAGATCGGTCCGTCACCTCCCCTGTGTTCTGTCCCACTGTAAAGACATCCCTTGGGCAGTCTCCTGATAACACGAGACATTCCTTGCCCTTGAAATCTGTATTTATAAGATATCGTCCATGATCTGTATCCCTCCCAGCTTCTGAGGACCCTTGTGTCAGAACCATAGTGCTGCTTCTAGGACTGTGCATTTTGGTGCCATAGGTACCCGATTAAAGCCCCAAACAGGGACATTCAGTTTAAAGCCAATATCTTGGTGTCTGTGTTTATGTTTCTTTCAAAGACTTTTTTAATGCTGCAGGGACAGTATTAGAAACTATGCAAGATGTGGCATTCCCCAATCCAGCATACCAGGAGGAGAGGAGTTGTGTTATTTTGGCCCCATCCACGGATTCTTCAGGCAGTAAAAAAGCCAAGTGAAAAATATACAGACGCATGCAAGAAAATCATAAAAATTCTAAACTCAAACATGGGATCCATACGTATTTCCAGCTTTTGATTCAGATGCTCGGTCAGTGACCTCAGCTCTGCGAGAGGGCCAACAATTTCTCTGTCACGCCACATCATGGGAACTGACCCTTCCTTAACGCCTGAGGCCTATTTTCAGCTACCCAGGAAACCTCACTACAAACCACCAGAGGGTGCTAGTCACCTTATATGAGAACTGCCAAAACATCTTTGCACATCTTTGCAGTCTGGGCCAGCCTTATGCAGCAGGACATGGTAATGATTGTGCATATGCATAGGGAAAACCTGCACAAAGAACCTCTGAGCAATCCTTGCTCCTTCTCCAAGGGCTTAAATTAAGAAGACACTAAACTGTGAACCCACATAATTATATCCACATGCTGAGGGGGAAGGTCTTTGGACAAGGCATCCCTGCAAACTGAAGTCTCTGGGAGGTCTTTCTCCCTGGGTCAGTGATGTAAGTGAAAGTAATTTCCTAAGGCAGCTCTGACCTGAAACCCGCCCCAGGGACACTATTGCATAACAAGACATCAGTTTCTTGCCATGATCCAGTTTACTTGCTGTTTCTAGCCCTACTAGCTGGCTGACACTGCCTCCTGTGCCATGATCAGAGCAGCCTGAGATGACTATTCAGATTCAAACAACCGGTGCCGCTCAGGTAGCTGGCTAGTGGCTTTTGCCTGGTATGATTCCAAAAGTGAAGGCCGAGTTTCTCCTGTAGTTCATGAAAAGCAATGTGACCTGTAACTGAAATGAAGGGACCAGGCAGGAGTGGCCTGAAAGTTTGACAGTAAAAGTTTGCTCTATCCATGGATTTTGGAACATTAGGATTTTGAACATTCTCTACAAAATGGTATATTCAAAATGACTCTGCAGAAGAGAAATGCTGGAGTGTCCAGCTTTTATTTTCAGAAAAATCAACACTCCCCCCCCCAACCCAACCACTTTGTGATTTCTACCCTGCTTGCATTTTCAGCTGTATGTAGAAAATTATCTCAGATGAAGGGGGCGGTTTTCACAGGCACAAAGGGGAGGTAAGTGACCATCTCCCAGTGACGTCCAATAGAAGCTGGGAGGGTGGGTGCCAATTTTCACAGGGGCCCCAAGTGATTTAGAAGCATGAATCCAATTGAAATGCAATAGCACGTGTGCCTCTAAATCACTTAGGCTTTAAAACATAATTCCATTCTGTGTGGCTAATTGCCCTTTAAAAATCTGCCCTTAAATCTCTATGGCCCCAGTCCTATAATTGAATCTGTGCAGCTGGACCTGTGTGCTCTTGATTTCAATGGGACTCGGCATGAAAATAAGGGTTTGCCTGCTTGAATCCAACTGCAGCTTGGGGGCTTCAATGAAGCTACAAGTACGCTGACGTGATATTTGACATTTTCCATTAATTCTGAGGCCAGGCTACACAGCTTTTCTCTCAGGTGGAACATGGAGAGAAAGATTAATGTTTATTTATCATTCTTTCCAGACACATATACGTTTAGTTTGCCATGTAGTTAAAAAAATAAAACTGGTAACTGAAGGCAGGTGAAGAAATGTAAACAATCCTTTATGTTTAAGTCATAATGATCCAGAGTCAGCTATTGACAGAACTTTTTGCTAAACAAGGAAGTGTAAGATCCATTACCAAAAACTTGTTGGTAAGAGAAAGATAGGCCCAGTGTGGAACTGATGTCCAGATATGTGTGTGCATCTGCTGTTATCACAGAGTTTTAATATTACTGTGGTAAAAACGTTGCATGGCCTGAATGCTACACCTAAGTTCTTTAAGTGGGTGACATTAACAGTGTTCCATAGTTATTAGAAAACTCACTCACTTGTGTTTTTCCCCGGGAAATCTTTCCCCTACTGTCAGTAACAAGGAACTTCATCTACCAAAGTACATAAAGCCTCACAGTTCGTTGGGGCCTGATCCTGCCAGCACTTTACATGTATGTGTAACACTACTTACAGGAGTAGTGCCACGTAAGTTAATGGAATTACTCACATGAGTAAAATTACATGTGGGGTTATAGGATCGGACGCTTCAGACTGTCAATGTACTATTAATATTACTTTAAAAGAGCCCAAGTGTTTAGAAAATCTATTATCCGCCACATACAAGGCACTACTTGGATAAAATAATCAATTATAATTATGCTCTATTTAGATCTATAATGCCAAAGCTCTGCAACTAAAGGTTGAAGGTCGCGGCCCCAAATGTCAGGACCAACGAAGTCTTACTCAGCATGGCACTAATTTCCTTGATTCATGGGTGTAGTCCCACTGAAATTAGGCTTGCAGGACAGGGCCCTCAATGTTACCTAGACACTGGATGTGCAAGGCCCCATGTTCAGTACCACAAGTGATATGTGGAACCCGCACACGGGCAAATTTAACATTCGCCTTTGTTAAAGAACTGACTATAGCCTTGCTTAGTCCAGGTCACTCTGACCTGCTGGCAAACCTGAGGTTAACTTTTCAGATCTGCTGTTTTCCAGAAATTCCAGGCTAAATAAGGAAACAACAACATGGTACCTTAGAGCATCCAAAGCACTTCGTTAATTAAACCCTCTGCAATTATTGCTAATGAAGAACAGGGCAAAGCAGCAGAAGCCAGCAAGCCTTTTCCACATAGCAGGGGATGCCATTGGGCAGAGCATCAGGTAGGAAAAGCCGGGAATCACAAGGTCAAATCACAACACGATTGACTCTGGCTTTATCCTTCTGCGGAAGGGACTGTAGCGTGGACCGTGGGACGGTGTTTTGGAGGAGATTCTGTGAAGACATTAAAGACCCCATGGCCCTTTCAATTAGAGAAGGGCTTCGCCTTTCTGTCCTTGGCCAAAATTTCACCTGCCCCCCTAGCATGCGCGTTGGTTGATATCCTCCACCCCAGAGGTGGGGATGCCTATGTATCTATAGGGTCTGATCCTACAAGTTGATGGTAGTGAACCCCCCATCAGAGGCAGGGGGAGTTGGTGCACACAGCAGGCTTGCTTCATAGGTGCTGGAACTAGGGGGGCTGCCCCACCCACTGGCTTGAAGTGGTTTCCATTATACACAGGATTTACAATTTGGTTCAATGGCTCTCAGCACCCCAGCTTGCAAAGTGCTTTGGGCTGGCACCTGCAGAGCCATTCCTGCTAGAGGCGGATTGGACTGCGGGTGCTGCATAAGGGCAGGCAGGGAAACTAGAAAACGCACTGGCACATGCCCACCGCCATGGGCTCGTCAGCACGGCAAAGCTGGGCATGCCTGGGGCACAGGGCGATGGCCAGAAGATGGTGTGCCTGGGTCTGGGGGCACAGCAGAGTCCGATGTATTGGGAAGGGGAAGAGGGTGCGGCGGGCCCGGCTGAGCGGGTGGCGGCCCCGTGGGGGTGTGGGCTGCAGATGGGGCAGCACAAGGCAAAGCGCAGCCCTGGCACAGAACTTCCCGCCCTTGCAAAGAGACTGGCACGCGCCCTCCTGTGGCTCTGCGCCTCCTCCCCAGGGGCGCTCGGGTAGGGGGGGACCCCACAGTTCAAAGGTCGGGTAGGGGGGACCCCACAGTTCAAAGGTCGGGACCCCTCCCTGGATATGCGGCTTCCCGTTAAGGAGGCAGCTGCGCTGCCAGGCCGGGCAGGGCTGCTGGGTTTGGCACGGGCCCCGGGTGGCTTCCCCGTCCTGGCGCGCTCCTGCCTCCCCGCCTGGCACCAGGCCCCGCGGCTGACTTGAAAACGCCCAGGCGGGCGGCAGGGAAAGCCCCACGGGGTGGGCCGGGGAGGGAGGCAGCCGCCCCGTGACTAACCCCCTTCCCTTCCCTCTGCAGCCCGCCCCACCCCGGCCTCCCCCGCGGCGGGGAGAGCTGGCGCTGCGCCTTTGCGCACGGGCGCATCTCCCCGCGGGAGGGCTGGGGGTGGCAGCCCGGGAGCCAGGGGGGCTCCAGCCCCTTCTCCCACCGCCACGTGACGGGGCTGGGCCCGAGGAGACGCCCACCGCGGTGGGTGGGTGGGTGGGAGGAAGGGGACCGGGACACCTGCCCGTGGCAGCAGCCGGCAGAGCAGCCCCGCTCCCGCCCGGCCGCCCCCACCTCTCCGGAGCCCCGCTGCGCCCGCCGGGGCTGGATGTGCCGCGGGAGCCGGGCGCGGAGGCGGCCTTGGGTGTCACGAGCGGCTCCGGCCTCAGCAGCAGCTCCACGTGGGCGGCCCCGTGGCAGTCAGGATCCCAGCTGACAGCGGCTGGGGAGGGGGGTGGGGAACGGCACCGGGGCGGCCGCCGCCTCTTCCCATGGACCTGTCCGGGGGCCAGCCCTCGCCGCCGCTTGGATGCTGATGTGAGGCAGCCCAGGGGGGTGTCCTGAGCTCCCTCGCTGCCTCCCCCCTCGCCCCAGCCCCAGCCCCCCCAGATGCATTCGCTGCTGGATCGCAAGAAGACAGCAGGCGGCTGCGTGGATGCTGGGCTGGAGCTGCCGGCTGCAGGTTCCCTTCCCCAGCCTCAGAGGATGTTCAGCTGCGTGGGCTGCTTCTGGGTCCTCCTATCCTCCTGCCTGGTGGCCGTTTGCAGCTTCAGCTTCCTCTCCCCTGCCTGGATCGTGAAGGAGCATCGCCTCCAAGCCCACGGCGGGGTCAGCTTCGGCTTGCTGTGGCACTGCTCCGAGACGCTGGAGCAGATGTACAGCTGCTACACCTTCGGGGGCCTGGGCAAGTTCCACGAGATCCCCTCCAGCGCCTGGCAGGTGAGGGGCTGCGGGATCCCAGCGGCTGGGGTGGGGGGAACCGGCTGGGCTGCCTGAGCCCCTGGCAGGCTGCCCCCTGGGCTTCTCTCCCTCCAAACGGTGGCTTTGCTACTGGTTTGGGATGCTCCTTCCCTCCTCCCCCACGTTGGTTGTCTGACAGGAGCAGCCCTGCACCCTGGGGGTACAGCCTGGCTGGGCAGTGCAGCAGAGGGGGTTTAGGCGCAGCCCTGCACCCTGAGGATACAGCGCAGCTAAGCAGTGCAGCAGAGCCAGTTTAGGCGCAGCCTTGCACCCTGAGGATACAGCCTGGCTGGGCAGTGCAGCAGAGGGGGTTTAGGCGCAGCCTTGCACCCTGAGGATACAGCCTGGCTAGGCAGTGCAGCAGAGGGGGTTTAGGAGCAGCCCTGCAACCTGGGGATATAGCCCAGGCAGTGCAGCAGAGGGGGTTTAGGTGCAGCCCTGCACCCTGGGGATATAGCCCAGGCAGGCAGTGCAGCAGAGCCGGTTTAGGCGCAGCATTGCACCCTGGGGATACAGCCCTGCTGATGCAAACAGGGGACGGAGAAGCTGAAGTCTGCAAATGGTGGGCTGGGCTGTGGATCCGAATCTGATTTCGAACTCCAAAGGCTCTGAGATCCCCGCAGTGGAAATCAGGAATGGCCCTGTGGAAGCCAGGGGAGCCATGCCGGTGTAGGACAGGTGTAAGCGCGGTCAGGATTGGCTCCAAGCCTCGTCAGCCCACGGAGCGTTCCAGGGGCAGGATTAGCACGTGCTGATAATGTTAGTTGAACGTCAGGATCCAGCGCACTGGAGTGTGGAGCCCATTAGCTGGGCTGCACAAAACATCTCAATCCAATTAGGGTGGCCGGAGGTTCCAGTATTAGCACCTGCTTCCCCATAAGCATCTATTTTAGGAGCAGCTGGGAGGGGCAGGCTCAGGGGCACTGGACCTACATACAGAGCCCTGTGTGAGCCTCCAGTCTGAAGGCAGCTGCCTCCTCCAAGGTGATGGCATGGCCCCTGGGAGCAGTGGGGGGCGAGGCAGATTACTGCCAGCTCTCCAGAAGGCTTTAATCTGGTTTGCTCTGAAAACTTGGGCAATTATCTGGTTCGTGCTGCTTGCCCGGAGCGGAGCGAATGGAGGTGCACATCTCTTTGCAAGGACTTTAGGATTAAACTTCTGAGTCCTCCCTCCCCTACATTCACTGGGGTGAACCCCACTGGTACCCGTGTATCAATGGGTATAAGATATAGACACTGTGCAGGCAAATGTCGACCTACTAATGGGGGAGAAAATGGGGGAAAGAAATGGAACAGGTTTTGCATATTTGAAACTTTTGTTCTTACCATGGTACCTGTGCAGGAGAGACGGCAGGTCGTACCAGCACCTCTTGTGTCTTGCCAACTAGGGCTGTGTAAAACTGTCTTTTGCATGCGTCGACTTCAGTGGGAGCTGTCAGTGCACAGCACCTCTGAAAATCAATCCACGTACTGGGGAGTTAATACCTCTTTGCTCATTCTGCCCTGGCTGGTGCTACCCCCTGCCGTTGCCAGACAAAAGTTACCTGGACTGGTGGGTGGCTCTTTGTTTTACTTAGAGTTCAGGACAGCCTCTCTCAGCGTTCTGGCTGGCGGGGCTGGGATTATTCTGCTGTCTTTGTGTGACAGGAGCTTTCTGCACTAGATGCAGAATAAAGCAGCGTTTCAGCACGAAACCGATGATTTTTCCCCTCCCCTTCATTCTTAATCTTGTTTCCTTTGCTTTTATTCCCTGCTAGTAACGGTGGAGGCTCTGACTATAATTTCCCTACAGGTTTCCAAACATATGAGCTTTGAACTGGGCAGCATTGCTCTGTTGCTGGAGTCCCACACAAGGGATGAATCAGGGGAAGGTCATGCCTTGTGCCTGACACAATGGGGCATTTAGTGGTTGAATTTCTCAGGCTGTCATGGAATCGAACTGTATCACTTTAAGGAAGCAAGTTCCATAGGCGATTGTGTGTTTAAACCGTCAGTGGTCTCTAAGATTGTCATTAATAACAAGTACACAATTTGTATATTGCACAGAGGAGAGCAGGCTAACTATAATGCTTCTTGTTTGTGCAGTAAAGGATTAAAAAAAAAAAGAGTCATTCGGTTTTTAAAACTTGGCCTTTATACAAATGTTTACAAATGTTGTTCAGATAAACACCTCTAGGTAATAACATAACTTTAAAGATAAGAATGAAGCACAATAAGTAATTCATTCCAACAAGATTCCACTACCCAGAGCTTCAGGGCTGTAATATCCTTTTAAGAAATACAGAAAAGAACTGAATACAAAGGCTCAGAGCTTCTTGAATGGATCTTCGCTCCGAACAAACAATATTCAGGTATGAGGGGGAGACAAGGTACACCAGGTCTTGGTCACATTTCAGTCTCCTTTATTAACCCCTCTGGAATATTTAATTAACAACAGCCTACAAACAATGCAGTTTGCTTCAGTGGAATGGGAAGAAAACGCCCTCCTGACTGCTTCCAGCTATGACACAGATGCCTTTTGTACTGGTTGTACAAGCAGGTAGAAGGGAGTTAGTCCCTGGGATCTTCACTGAGAAGCCGGGTTGCTTTGGCTTCCTGTACAATCCATTGTAGGAGTGGCCCCGGGCTTTATAAACCCACAAAGAACTGGGAGAAGTGCAGCGCTGCCAAACCCAAACATGAGTCAGGGTTTAACAAACTCATTGTTTGGCTTGAAATCAGGAGATTTAATTTTTTTAAATAACCAATGTGGGGTTGTTTATATTTGCCTTCTGCTTTCTGAGCCTTCAGAGTTCACTCAGGTCACGTTCTTAAGCTTTTCTCTGAATCTTGAGAGCTAGAAACTTTTCTTTTTGAATGAAGGCTGAGATTCTCACTTCCAGTTGACTCCAGGAACTGGAGCTTTAAAGAAAAAACATAAAATACCTCGAGAGTCTCAATTAAATCACGAGCATTGGGCAGCCTGGCCAATTGGGGAAGGATAGTTCAGTGGTTAGAGCATTGGCTTAAGCTGTGAGAGACCTGTGTTCCATTTCCTGCTCTGCCACAGACTTCCTTTGTGACCCTGGGCAAGTCACTTAGCCCCTCTGTGCCTTATATGCACATTGGGGATAATAATGCTTCCTACCTCACAGGGGCGTTCTGAGGATAAATACATTAAAGGCTGTGATTTGCTTTGAGGTCTACTGATGAAAAGTATCATATAAGAAATAGGCTTTATTAATCTGGTAATGGTTGGCCGTGAAGCACTGTGTTTTGCAAGCAAAGGGCCCTACTGGGAGTCAGTATTGTAGGGTCAGCCTGGTGGTTTGTGTGGGGAAGAAGCACTTGCTCTTCTGCCTACATGAACTGTTCCTCCCCCTTGCCCAGATGGCAGTTACCGCATTTCAAATGTTTCCCCGTTCAAATGTGCTGATTTTGCGAAGGGGCAGGGGGAGCGTTCAGCTCTGCAAATGATCGTTAATGCGAGTTGTGTGTTTGCACTTGGGGGATTATGTTAATCATCCTACAAATGATGCTTTGAATCATGTCTAGAGGTTAATTACCATGCCTTTCTTCTCTTAAGAGGGCCTTTTTGCCTGCTTAGAATTGCTGGCTTTTTTTGCCTTCTCTATAATTACTTTTTCAGCTTTGCAATATCTAGGGTTCCTTTAGTTTAACTCTATCGCCCCTTAGGAAGTACGGCCTTCCCAGCCTGCTTGGGGTCACTCATGCAGCTCTAAGGCGCACATGTCCTAAGCGGAAGGAACAGGATGATTTCCTGGGCATGCACAGGGTAGAGACATAAGAAGGGCGAAGGGAAAAAGTCTTGCGGGTGATAAAATTGCTTGGGTATGACACGTTCTAAGCTTGCTACAAAAACGGGCCTTAGAACACACAGACCCACGAAATGGTTTCCTCAGAAAGGTGGCTGTTGTCTCTCTCTCCATCTCTGCCCTGACATGCAGACGGTTGTTGCCGGGATGATGTAGGCTGCAGACACAGAGTTCTCTTGCACTGGCATGTCAGGAACGCATGACCTGCTGCGAAAGGCTGGTAGATCTGTGTGAACAACGCGCCATAAAAACTGGGACCCAGTCCCCTCAGCAAAATTCTGGCGTTCGTCAAGGAAGGAAAGACGACAGCACGTTGTTGCCCAGATTTAAGGCTCCGCAGTCAATGAACCAGTTTACGAGCGGGATCCTTATTAGAGCTATTCTTGTAAATAAGGGTCACTCGTGTCAGGGTCTTGGTCAGTCAGTTCTGTACAGTAATTTGGTGACTGGGAGCCTTAAATCTAGGCAGTACTGTCAGCATCTCAGAATTAAAGAGAATTCCTCCTGCTCCTCAGGGACACAGGAACTCACTATGAGTTCATGCTACTTATTTCGGGCTCTGAGGAAGGCAAACGTAGTTCTGTATCCTGAGCTAGTTTGTTTATAAATTTTTTTTAAATGCAAACATCAGGCTGGTATGTCTCTTCTGTCAAGTGCTGCAGTTTGGAAGCGAATGCTCTTTGATCTCAAACGTCTATCTCCCCCCCCCCAGTAGTCTCCAATTATTTTCAGGCTTAGCAAAGCATGTCCTTTAAAACAACAAAATAGTTGATCAGCCCCTGATATTCAGTCTGGAAACACTTTGACCATTTGCCTCTGAAGATTCTACAAGAGGATGAACACTCTGTTAGCACAGAGCTCAAAATAGGGAATTCAGATTAGGAATGGAGGATTTGCCTGACCCAGTGACACCACTGGTCTGATCAAGTCTGAGATCTTGTCTCTAGCAGGATTCAGCGCTCAGGCTTCGGAGGAAGTCAAAGCAAACCTCATAATGCACCTAGCTAGTTGATCAGACACCACGATGATGGGCATGGTATGAAAACTAGACAGACAGACAGCAATGGAGGGGAAGGTGGGGGGCAAAATTCCTTCTTGGACCCTTTTAGGGTTGACCTGGAGCTAATCAACTCTAGTTGTGTAGCTTCTCCTGGTTGTACCTCT